GGAATATTCAAGGTGCACCATTATGATAGGATGGAGGGATTTGTTCATTGTTTATCTCGGCGCTTCCTTTGAATTCAAGGTTGCGTTTGCTGAAAGGGTTTCCAAATTCTAATGCCGTCTTGCACACGCGATGGTCTCCTAGTTGAACGTACCAAATGAAGCATGTACCGATTCACCCACGAAGTCATCAAATGAATGAAATATAATACAATGAAAAAATAGACCTTACCTACTGACGTAATATGCTGAGAATTTGCCCTCAAGCCATTGACGAAAAATCAAAACAAAATATTAAGAGTTCCTTTGGCAGACGGGAAGTTCTATGTGAGATTAATTTTAAAGAGATGATTACGAAAAACAGAGGTCCAAATAAAGATATATATGTAGTAGCAAAGCTATGATATGTTGACAGCGCATTTATCTTTACCCTTTCCTCCTGGAATATTCAAGGTGCACCATTATGATAGGATGGAGGGATTTGTTCATTGTTTATCTCGGCGCTTCCTTTGAATTCAAGGTAGCACTCGCTGAAAGGTCTTCAAATTCCAACGTCGTCTTGCGCACGCAATAGATGTTAAAGGTCACACCATATACCCGCATTCACTCACGTAGACATCAAATAAAAGAAGTATGTCTTTAAATGATATTGAATCTAAGGTAACCTGATAGATTTATTATTTTCGTTCGATAGTAGGTAATACTTAGTGCGATTAAATTTTTTGAAGGTGGCAGATTATAAACCCATAACAGTTTTATTTTGAAGAAGTTTACGCTTACTTCTCAAGAAATTCTGCAAAACACATTTTAATGCGCGATTATGCATGACTAAATTTTACTAGAGTCTTTTTCCTGAGGCTGTGTTATATTTCTACCCCAAAAGGTAGACTTTATCTCACATATATTTGCAAGACATATGTGAGAACTTTCGGACGGGAAGAAGAAAAGTAGCGAGCGAGTGGACCTGCCTGAAGTTCAATCGTGGGCCGCAAACGGCGAACGTGACCGATAGTCTTCTCACCTGATTCCTAGCGGTTTGCGGTCACACATATTCATGTCGCACAAGGGAAGCTTTGTTCAATTAAAGCAATAAAAAAGGATTATTATCTGTCATCGCAGCACGTTTCCTTATCCCACCTGCGTTTCAAAAATTTCTGAAATTCCGCAGCTTGGAGAAGGCACTAGTGTTTGGTGAAATGTCAAGAGCTGCCGCGATATGAAGGCTGTGTTACTGATTGCCAAATGGTACAGCTGCAGACAATCGCCTTGACGAATCGAGCTTGGGGAGTTAGATCTAATAAAATTCTGCTTACAACACAGGCTAAAACCTTTTTGGAATGCCAAAAAAGAATCTGGAATGAACTGACTAGTACAAAATTAGCCAATCGACTAACTTTTAACTTGTTGCGTATGCTTATCATACTCAAAAAGTAAAACTGTCCAATCATCAATGTGACAGCTCATCAAAAACAAACTTATTCAGTACACAGTTAAACTGAATGAGTTTGGAATTGTACTGAATGAGTTTTAATTTATACTTAAGAAGTTTGCAGACAGTTATTCTGTATTAAGGCCCGCTTAAAAGATTTTAACATTTACTTCAGCATCAGAATTCAACAATTTGTTGAACCTAATTTTCGGTGCGTTTTTTCAACATTGTTGAAAACGTAAAAAATGTAGAAAGCTGTTGAAAGCGCGTTGAATCAAGTTTAAATCGGTTTAAACTTTCATTCAACATCGATTCAACTTTCCCTTTGTAAGGCCTCTGTAAGACCTTTGTACAACGTAAGGCTTTATAAAAGGCCGCCGCTCAATTTTGTTTTTGCGTTCATCATGAATTTTGCCCAACATCCGTTCAACTTTTGTCGAACGAATATTGGTCAAATGTTGAAACCGTTTATACGGGCATTTAGAGACCTTTAGCACTCGGCAACGCGACGAAAGATGTGGAGTAAAAATCGATTCATTTCAGTATTTAGGGCCCACCGCACTAGCAGGTAAACCTAGAATTGTCCCGACAAAATCAAAGGTCAAATTTTTGTCTTAACAAATTTTTGTCTCCACTGTTGCACTCGCACTAAAATATCGAAGTTGCTAAAATTCGGTTAATAGCCAAAATTAACACCTAAACTAAACTCAGTTCAGTTACCGCACTGGTAATGATCGACNGCCTTGTTTCGCAAGATACTAATAGCGGCCGATCGGTACTCGACGAAACAAGATTCGCTGACTAATAGACTAGCGGCCGTTTCGTTTCGTTTCGTTTCGTTTCGTTTCGCAAATTACCGTAAGCCACAATTTTCTCGCTGGGCGGTAGCCCCCTTCGTTAGAATTTCGCGCATGGCTGGATTTGTTTACAGTTTCTTGCTGCGCTTTACTTCAACTTCAGGACAACACATGTGAGCCACAATGAAAACTTAGCTAATTTTGCCGTTGGGCTTTTTGTTCACAGACCACGCAAATCAAAAGTTGTTTGTTAGGGAGGACAGCTGCGAAATGTACAAAGTTTTCAAAGGGACTCGCTAAGCTATTTTCTGCCCATTGGATCTTTTAAATTTGTTTTCAGTTTGCCACGTCCTCGTCACCGTTACCGTCGTGGTTAGGGCCTGTTCGCACTGCACGAATTTTTCTTTGTTTTGCAAAAGAATTTGTCAACGCGAAACCAATTTCAGTGCGAATGATGTTTTTGACCCACCAAAATTTTCGCAAGAGCCACCAAACTACAAAGATGCCGTCAACTACTTTTGGATGCCTACAATGTTTTGTCGGGCGAGAAAATCTATTGTTCCTTGACAGATACCCTTCAACTGGTCATCATATTTCGTAATTGAACGTCGCGTTAGTGAGTTGTGGAGTGACTCTCTACCCATTCTCAAACTGTCTACGGAAAAAGGCTTCAGGAAGTTACTATTTCAAACCAGGATTCTACAAGTCGACTGAGGCCTCGACGTTTATTGAGCAACTGAGTTCCCAACAAAACCAAAAGTAATTGTTCACTGGCCACAATCAGTTTTTGCACGGCAAGCAAACAGCAAAGAAAGGCGATTAAAACATCTCGCGGGGGCATTTTGCTTTGCGATCAGTCCTTGACCAGAAAAGACATAAAAGAAAACGCACTGTCACGAAACCTCGGTATCTTTTTCGATTGTTTGACATTTGTGGTTACCCAAATAACTCGCAGGTCTCAAGTGCGAACGCTAATTACAAAAACACAAAATTCGTTGTTACAAAATTTTTAACTTTTTCGCAAATACCAAACCAAATTTTTCGGTGTAGTGCGAACCGGTTCTTACCTAATTTTTACACTGTCGACTAAAATTTCTCTTTCTTAAGCGTAATTGCTTTGTTAACAAAACAAACTAAAAAGTACTTGTGTCGTACAAGTTAATAGAATTTTGGCGCAATGTCCTGTAGAAGCTCAAAATGTTCTAATTTCTAAATTTCTACTAGCTGATTATACAACCCCTTGATGGAAAACTTCAGAGCAATGAGATGGATTCAAAAACCAAAGTCAGCAGACAAAGTGTATACAACAAACAAAAATGGTCAACAGCCAAAAATTACTCCAGTACTACATGTCATTATAATTTATTCAATGAAGCTTTTCCTTCCCTTTGCCTCGAGTGGGCATTTTTGAATCTTGTGCCGCCTCTACGATTCCATTGTTGGACTGGTAAAGTTGCGACTAGATAATCACTCCACCATTGTAGAGGGTCATGTATATCTTTTCTTTGATTTGAGATGCTCTCTCAATAATTTCTCTCTTTGATAGTGGTTGGTAAATAGGTGGTGCAATTTCATACATTAAACTGCTGTCTTCATTTTTTTCATTTGAGAGTAGATAAAAAAATCCACAGTTCGGTTTGTGAGCTGTGACTGCTTGAAGGAGTTGTCTGTTTGCTTCTGTTGGATCTGCTTGTTGGAAGAAGGGAAGTCTTGGGTCATGTAGTGTGTCATTTTCTTTGGTCTCTCTACCATAAACCTTCCTTGAAAAGTCTATTTCATAGACTGTTGAAGCATCTAGTTTTCTTTTCCGTGATTGATTCCAGGTTTGTAAACGATCNGTCTGCAGGCAAAAGGTGACTCCATTTCTCCACGAAATCGTTGTCCCACTTGTTTCTTATGTAATACACAACTCTGTAAAAGAATGATTGAGCTATGATCGAGCTATTGAAAATAAAGTAATACAGTTTTGTAACAAACTACAAACCTCCGAAACAACTCTGTTTTGTTATCGTTTGATGCAGCACTCCCATCTCGCGACGTTCCTTTTCGATAACTGAGCCATTGTTTTAAGCAGTTTTTCGTTAGTCCTCGAGGGCAAGCCCCACCAAGCATTTGTGCTGTCTGCTCATTTGAGAAAAAAGCATTTGGAGGATCTAAATTTTTGTTTGTATCGCTACTCTGAGCTTCAATTCCTTCGTCCATCTTGCATTTTCGACCCAAGTGTCTCGTTTCCATGCACTACAATGGGAGAGACGGCTGAAGTGCGGGCTCAGATCTAATATCTGCCATTGTTCCCTTCAGTGTTCCCTTGATTGTCATTAGGTGGGACATTCCAGCGCCCAACCTATTCCTAAGAGTGGCGGCTTTAATTTTCGTATGGATTTAAACTCCAGTTATCAGGATTCATCTTCATTTGTCTGAATTTGTAAACTCCGCGAGTTTCGCAACGAAAGAAAATCACTGTAATCTTTTGGTAAACTGAACTCAGTTCAATTACCACGCTGCTGAGCGTTTGCGACACATGACTCGACAAGTTTATCACGGTTTTGTTTATTAAGTCGATTTCGCCAAAGTTTTATCCGGGACAAATTTTGTCGGCGGTGAATTTGAAAATTTCTTCGCTTCGACCAAAATTTGTCAAGTCGCGGCAAACCATCAGCACTGGTAAAGTGTTGGTAATGAGAGAAAATTTGTCTAAACAAACATTTTTTTATCAAGTGCGGATAGGCCTATAGTCATCGCAAAGCAACATGCGGCGAATATCAATTTCCAGGTGCACGAGCTAAAAAAAGAATTTTTTCAGATGACGTTTCACCGATAGAGATCAATTTTGAATTGAATATACCTGCACCTGTTAACCGGTCTCAATTCATGAAGGGACGTAAACGCCGGAATCCATGTAGATTGCATTTAAAAAATTGATTTAAATTCAGCCGTAAAACTCCCCACACGAGCTTTGTATTTCATGTTAACTCCAATGAACAATCA